CCCCAAAACCCCAAAACCCCAAAACCCCAAAACCCCTTAGCAAATTTCTAGATTGATCAGCTCTTGAAAATAAACCGAGAAAATCTGAGGAAACGAACAAATTGGAGAGATTCACTAATAAGAGGTAGTCCAGATTCTAAAAATATCTTGTTGGTTTATTTGGATATCAGAACACAAAAATATGGTTTTCATATTAGAATCTATCCAATTAGCATTTAGGGCCAAATAGAGTGTTTTAAAACGAGATTTTGACTAAATTTTGTATCCAATTACTCCTTAAGGCTTGGCATATCACAATCCAAAGCGACTCTTCTTCTTGGTCTCTTTGGAGTGAAGGTGTTGTAGTCAACTTCTGGTTCTGGCTCGTTTCCAAGTACTTCTTCAATCTTCTCCTCTAGTTCTTCAGTCCACTTGCTTGCTACTTCTAATGCACCTATGTTGTCTTCTACTTGGCTGACCTTTGTAGCTCCAAAGATGCAGGTGGATACATCTCTATTAACTAGTGTCCAGGCGAGTCCAAGTTGGGCAGGTGTGCATCCTACCTCTTCGGCGATCTTCGAGAACTTATTCATTTTCTCAATAACAGCATCCTTATCTTTACCGTCTTTTCCAAAATATCCATACCCGAAATGGCTACCATCAGTATCTGGATGGAATCTTGTGCCTTCTGGGAAATCTCCGCTATTGTATTTTCCAGTCAAGAGACCCATGGCAAGAGGAGACCAGATGGTTGTTCCATATTTGTATTTTTCATATGAGTGTCTAAGGTTCTTCTCGTGAAGTTCTCTGAAAAGAGCATTGTAGTGAACTTGATCAGCGATTGGCTTGTTCAGATCCTCTTTTTCACAGATCTCCATGGCTTCAGCGATTTCAGCAGCGTTCCACATTGAAGTAGCCCAGTAGAAGGCGTATCCTTCTTCTACAATCCAATCCATAGCTCTAACAGTCTCTTTAATAGGAGTGTGAGAATCTGGTCTGTGACAGAAAACGACATCCACATAATCGAGTTGGAGTCTTTTCAAAGAGTTCTTGATGGCTTCACAAAGATGCTTTCTGCTAAGCATCTTGTCATTGACTCCTTCTTCACATTTCCAGAGCTTAGTAGTAACTACAATATCTTCTCTTGGTGCTCCGATTTCTTTGAGTCCTTTTCCCATAATAATCTCAGCATTTCCTGCATTGTAGATCTCAGCAGTATCAAAGAAGTTAACGCCTAGTTCGTAAGCTCTCTTCATACAGTCAATAATGGCCCTCTCGTTCTTGAGGTCATGAGCTGTGATCCAAGTTCCGTAAGAAAGGACGGATACATCAAGCCCGGTATTGCCGAGCTTCCTGTAGATCATCTTTGGTTTGGATGTTTCCATTTGGGATTAAAGAATCTAATATTCAATAGATTTGCCAAATCTCGGGGTTTTGGGGTTTTGGGGTTTTGGGGTTTTGGGGTTTTGGGGTTTTGGGG